GTTTAATCTCTGTATATTTATGAGCGTGTATATATGTATATATATGAGTGTATATATATATTAGTGAGTTGCTAATGGCGATGTTGCGAGTGTGTGTGGGTGGTTGGGTATACGTAGTTAAAGTACTTGCTATACGTTGTCGGCGAATGCCGATTGATTTTTAGCCCAGGCCTAGTCTGGATATGTCTATTAATTATTTATCATTCCTTGCTGTAGGACTATGAAGTGAGATGTATGCAGAGACGAAACATTCTCTTAATAAGGGCTGTCTTGTATCAAAGTTAGGTCGTATAGAACGCGATACGCAATAAAGCATCTTGATTGCACATAATATATATTCTAATAGCGTTCCATAACCTGATGTGATGAAAGGGAAACTACCTGAAAATGCATAGTGTTGATGTCAGACAATGTCATTGCGAAATGACAAGGCTATAATATTATTTGATGCAGCACAACATGTAACCGCTCTATTCGTTTCATAGAACGATAAACTGATATTTTCCCGGCGTGCTTGGCTAAGCCTACCTCCCCCTTCAGGCACATCCCGCCCAACTTACAGTCAGAGCTCCCAGGTTATTGTAGTAACAACACTACACGCGAGGCAAGGAAGCTAACACGACTCTCTGCTGCATAAAAGCCGAGGTACCGCAAGCACAGGCGCAAAGACTCGTGCACAGTCACAGAGTCAGGATGCCGGTATTGCCACGAGGGCATTGGGCATGCGGATGGGTTACCCATCGGATTTGTCCATGCTCGTGCAGCCGAACTCCTTATGTGCATTCGCGCATGAATGTTCAAGAATGCGTGTACGTGCACGCACGCGTGTAAGCGCGCGCATGCGTGTTCGTGCGAGCACGTGTATGTGCACGCATGTGTGTATGTGCGCGCATGCGTGTACGTGCAAGCACGCGTGTATGTGCACGCACGCGTGTTCGTGAGCGCATGCGTGTATGTGCACGCACGCGTGCATGTGCGCGCACGCGTATGTGCGCGCATGCGTGTACGTGCACGCACGCGTGTAAGTGCGCGCATGCGTGTACGTGCACGCACGCGTGTACGTGCGCGCATGCGAGTACGTGCGCGCACGCGTGTACGTGCGCGCATGCGTGTACGTGCACGCGTGTACGTGCACGCAAGCGTGTATGTGCACGCATGCGTGTACGTGCACGCACGCGTGTATTTGCAGGCACGCGTATACGTGCGCGCACGCTTGTATGCGCATGCGTGAATGTGCACGTAAGCGTGTGTACCCATGTACGTGCACGCCTGCGTATATGTACATGCGTGTATCTGCACGTACGCGTGTACGTGCGCGCACGCGTGTATGTGCATCATCCCAAATTACCTTACATAGCTTCTCGACACATTAACAAAGTTAAAGTGCTCATAACATTTCAATTGCATGTTTCTTGCACCAAATTGAAGCTCTTGATCTTCTCTTTCCTGAATGTAAAGGATACTGCCTTATTCATGTACATTTATTCTTTGTGTCACTCGTATACGCGCATGTGTACGTGCACGCGTGCGTGTATGTGCATCATCCCAAATTACCTTACATAGCTTCTCGACACATTAACAAAGTTAAAGTGCTCATAACATTTCAATTGCACGTTTCTTGCACCAAATTGAAGCTCTTGATCTTCTCTTTCCTAAATGTAAAGGATACTGCCTTATTCACGTACATTTACTATGATTTATGAAGGCGATCACACGCGTTATATGCACTGAAACCGCCCTTGCCCCTAAAACTAAAAGACCTATTGCAAGCGTAACAGAATCAGTATGTACAGTGTATCATTGGTATATGTTTTGCTATTTTATAAAACCACAAGATCATCCGCTGACCGCTGTGGATACGTGCGCCGGGCCTACAATGTGGCGCACGTATCCACTGCGGGCAGCGCTTCATACTTGAACATCTCCGCGGTCGCGTGCGCATATATCCCGCGGAACAGCGTGTGTTGTCGGCGCCGCTCAGCGCCTCATGATCAACAGCCAAACTGTGCAACGCAAACTTGTATCATGTCTCACTGGACGTGATGCGGCCATGATGACGAGACGCGCCGAGGATTGACACTTTGTGTCTTCCAATCACAGCCTACGCCGCACCAGTCTTTGATATTTTTAAATATGGGGACCCATTGGACCACCAAATTGCCGATCTCAGGAACTAGGGCATTCTGCTATATTAGAACGGTTTCCTACGATAGAGTTTGCCACAAATACGAAAATAACACGCTGTTTAGTGCACTGTGCTACGTCCTTCTGTAGCATTTTCGCATCTCCGTAATCAGAATAAGCCCCGCCTTCTTCGTTGATGGGCATAAATGGGGCGTCAACGACGTGACCCGTTACTGTACCTACTGTCTTTCGCCAGCCTGATTACTTTTCGTAAATAATAAAAATGCCCGGCCGATGCATTTCGCATCGAAGTGGAAAAATTCGGATTTTTTACCCGCTTTCGTCATTCATTAAACATAAGGTTTTTCTTAAAATTAAATAATTCCGAAAATCCCTAACCGCGCTACTCGATTGTTTTAGCCAATGAACGTAGCTGCGTGTGGGACGTCTTGCCCGCGCGCTTTATGCTTTGCTTAGCAGGCCTCGAAATGGATATCGGAGGCAGGCACCTCCTCGTAACACGCGTGTTTGTTTACATATAGCTTTGTGACATGAGGCTGAGCGGTGTTGGGGAGTTCTGCGATGATAACCTCGTAATTTCTCAGAATTTCTCAAGGTGCTTGGAACATTTTACTAATTTAGTGGTGTCAGTTCGTTACCGATATGTCACAGTAAGTACTAACCGTATATGTTTCACATACGTTCACCTATTTTGCTCAGGCGGTCAATCATTGTGAAAAATTATGTGAATATTTATTTTTATTGAGACGTTCCAAGTGCCTGTGCTTTCAACAGTCTTGTACGTCAATGCACGTGCGTCAAGAGCCACAAACACAACACAATTTCTTATCTGTTATTGTTTACGCCTGAATGCGTGATTGATCAGGGAGGGGGTGCATGTAAGAGGGAGACATTTTCTTTGGGGTTCCGAAAAACACTATTCCACTTGA